ACCAACAAAGAGCTCCAGCAGCTGGGTGCGAGGAGGTTAGCGTCTAACAGATTTCTTCCCCCTGTACAGAAAATCCGCACATTTCAAACCCTTTGTTTACTTTCAGTCGTCCAAAGGCTCATCTCTGGGTTTCGGGGGCGGGGGGCACCATCCTGAAAAATGATCATCCCCCCTTCGCGTTGCTTTGCAGCGTGCGGCTCAGGATTCACAGCGACGCGCTTTTTTACACAAACGTAAAAGCGGGATCTGCACGAGCATCAGTGAGCTCGCCGTGAAGCCCCGGAGGACCACGCGTGGCCTCTCCTTCTTCTTCTGCGCACATAAATAATGGTGAACGTACGTTTGTCTGCTCCCGCGGGCGCCTTCCTCAGACCTCTGAAGTCTCTCCCGCTCTCCGTCGCTCTGTCTTCCTGCAGAGAGCGCCGTGTTTGTGCATAATTTTCATTTCGAGGGGTCACATAAATTCTCTTCCATGCAAATGAGTCGAACTCTCAGAGGTAATAATCACCTGAAAGCTGCGCTCGCGCTCACGCTCGTAACACACACAAACACCCCAGGTGGCTCCACATCGCACTGCTGACATGAATAAATAATTAAATGAAATCCCATTTTTTAAAATTTCATTTCCACAGCAGCCCAATCTAATTCCGCCTCCACCCTCGGAGGACGACGCCCGGGTGACCCTCAGGTACAATTACCTCCATTCAAGGCAAACGCTTGTGTTTCAGGAGCACTTCCTGTGTAACACATGACACACGCAGCAGACGGCACACGTGGTATTTGCAGGAGGAACAGAGACGTGCAGTCATCACGTCTCTGTGGCGGTTTCCTCCTCGGTTTCATTGCAGAAGCTTCAAAAACACACTTCTGTCATACGTGCGGAGAAAACGCCTCCTGCTCGTCTGCACCAGCACGCGTGAGGCTCCCGGCAGCCACAGCAATGCTGTCACGTCGCATCAGGGTCAAAAGGGTCGCGACCCGAGGAGGCCCAGGTGGCCGCCGCGTACAGCGCCTCGGTCACGTGACCTGCAGCACTCCATTCGTGTCGAGGAGCAGCTTCAGGATGGGAGACATCAGCTTCACACCAATAAGTGAACACAGCTGCTGGTCCATGATGTCATGACATCATCATGACATCATCACACATGCTGCATCCATCATGAGAATCTCAGGATCCACAGATGGACAGACTGAACAGACACAGAGGTCACACAGAGGTCACACAGAGGTCACACAGAGGTCACACAGAGGTCACTCGGGGAGGCGGTGGAGTTGCAGTTTGATCGTGTGGCGTGTGGATGTGCACACCGCACAGTTAAATAACCAAGAAATAAGACGTCACTGCTGCAGGAGGCCGACGTGGCAGAAACGCTCGCAGGCGGGAAACAAAGAGCACGGCGAGGAGTTGAGGCTGTGACGCACTGATGTAACAGGAAACAAACAGCTGACGCTAATCATGGTGGACGACACACAGGAAGTAAAAGTAAATATCTAAATGTCACCATCAACTTCCCCCTCTGGGAAAAAAGCCTCTAAGCGCCCTGAAT